GTAGCTATGGGCGGAGGGATGCGGCGAGATACGATTCGCGAGTGTCGCGGTCGCACGTCGGCCGAAGGCATCTTTCTTTCCGCTGCCGCTTTCTGTACGCTGATTTGTTGAGACAAAATAATTAATTTCTCAAAAACTATTGCGAATATCGCAAAACGGCACAGGACTTTCTTGCTCACCTCAATCCGTTCTACGTTCTCACCAAGGGTCATCATGGGACTTCGGGACACCCTGTATATCGATCGAGGAAGTGATGTAAGGAAAAGGAAGTGCCTAAAACAATAGGCTTATAATCTAGAAGTATCTCAGATCCAATTTCGAGTCCCACCAATGTAAGAACTTTTAAATGTATTAATAATATAACATTTGGAATGGAAATAATCTAAATTTTAAGTAAAATCAGTAAACGCTATTTACGAATAGTTCCTATTAGAAAAATACATACAAATATGTGAAAAAATTATAAAGTATGTATCTGTTCATATAAATAACTCAAAATGAATATTTTAAAAAGTTTTCAGGAATTCCAATTATGGTGTATGTAACTTCCTTATAGTCATTCCTAAAGTATACTCTTACGACTTCTTAAAGAATTACCGTTCAAGAAAGAAGAATATTCCGGGAATACTTTAAGAATTCATTATGCTACCTGGGACGTTTCTCGCGTTACATTGACAATAAATATTACATATAATGTTCCATGACAAATACAATTTTCAGCAATTGCCATCAAAGTGCAGTGCTTTATGGAAAACATTAGAGCCTCTTAAGTAGGAGTCTAAACATATTTAACTTTCTTATAAAATATAGCGTCTGGTTTGTCACTAGATGTTCTATGAAGGGTGTCTACTCAACATCGAGTTAACCATTAAAAGAAAACTTTCTATTAATATTTTATATGTTATCATGTCAAAATTAGTAAAACTGAATATCTGTTATATACCAAGCTGCAAAAATGCATGTGTCAAAAGATCTTATATAGCAGTTTTGCTAATAAATCTTAAAAGACAACCATTATGAATTTAACTTATGAATGTATCAAATGTCGAATAAATTTAAAAAATATTACATATTTGGAATGTGAATTATTTTTATATTTTGTTTTAATCTTTTTTTATAGAATTAATACTTTTAGTCTTCCTATGTAAATACATATGTTTAAGAATAAAATTAAGTTACTAGAAGATACGTTACTAGCTAGAATGAAATTTTTGCAAATGTATGATATGTTATTTCCAGTAATAAATGCAATTTTCATTCATGAAATGATTGAGAGTATATAGGGCGAACACGATAAAGTTGGCTCGTAATTAAGGGCTGGTAGGAAGGCTATGGAGACCTTTCCCCGAGACTGTGGCACTCTTAATCAAGATATTTATATTATGGCCTTCTGTGTTAGGTTCGACATTTGATACAGGACAACTGAACTCGATATCAGAGCAAAATGGTTCTACATGTTTGTATTTTGGTTATTATAAAATATACGGTTAACAGGGTCATGGCGGGCATTAATACATAGAAGAAAGTTTCCTCTACCATATTTATACAGTCAGTTACAACAATTAGTTGCCTCAGAAGTTGTAACTTCGAAATTTTAAAATATAGAGCATCTAATCTCAGTCTCCCCTAATGTCCACGACTTTTACTTGGTACAACCAGTCATGTCAATCGATTAAAAAATTATAATAAATAATATCAATGAAATAGATATGAATATTGCTAAACTAATTTTGTTTATATTCTTCTCTTATATTAAATAATAATGATTTTTTTCCAAACAGGATCTCTTTATTTAACTTCAGTTCCGCCATTTTTAATCAAGTAAGGAGCTATATTAATCAGTAAGAAGTCGAATATGTGCTTTGATCATTATTTGAAGAACTCAGAAGAAATAAATTCCATTAACTGTCTAGTCGATTTATTTATGCTACTGTTAAGTTATACTTTTAACGAGATTTTATTGATTGTGATATTATATATACAGGATGTCCGGTAACTGATCGAGCAACCGCCGTGTATGGATAGAACAGGTCAAAATAATCATAAAAGTTATACTATATATCATTTTGAAATTTTCTCAATATTTATTCCGTAATTAATTAAAATGTATAAACGAATGAGCTTACGAGAAGCGGTATGACAGGCTCTGTGTGTAAAAGAAATGGCTTACCTCTTAGCAACGATGAGTAAACAGCTGATTTCGAGGCGGAGTAACGTATACGTGTCGCTTGTTACTCCGCCTCGAAATCAGCTGTTTACTCATCGTTGCTAAGAGGTAAGCCATTTCTTTTACACACAGAGCCTGTCCTACCGCTTCTCGTGAGCTCATTCGTTTATACATTTTAATTAATTGTGGAATAAATATTGAGAAAATTTCAAAATGGTATATAACTTTTATGATTATTTTGACCCGTTCTATCTGTACACGTTGCTCGATCAGTTACCGGACACCCTGTGTATATATACATATATATATATATATATATATATATATATATATA